AACGTACCCAATCTAACCCATCATGGTTGGGTTGGACAGGTTGATCGGGTTGTCTAAAGAATTGCCCCACTTAGTGTTTATGCATTTGAAAAATGAAAAGCAATTTCAAAATGTTACAAAAAGCGCCCTTGGTGTTTGGGATAGTGGAGATGGAGGCAAGATAAACATCAATGATTCCTTGAATAACCTAACTCAATTAACCACTCCTAATCCTAGTTAGATCGCAAAATTATACTTAACATGAAATTTCAACGTTAAAGTTTGAATCTTATCAGATCATGCTGATAACCAATAAACTTATTGACAAAACGGGTCGTGTATGTCTAACACGACCAGAAACCTAACATGTTTGCCAAGTCTACCCTTAATAACAAACGGGTCAACAAAATCAGAGGACATATAAACACTTAGTATTACGGTTTAGTCATTTGTAAGTGAGAGGTCTTAGGTTTGATTCTCGCCAAAGGTGAATTTGAACCACATTATTATGGCTAGTCCAGTGTGAGGTTTAGCCCACTCCCTTAATTGTTTGTTAAAAAAAAAAAAATTAGAGGACATTTTGGTAGGGGTGGGTTCAAAAAACTGAAAACCGAAAAAAAAAGGATTGAACATAGAACCGAAACCGAAAACCCAAAAAAAACCAAATTGAAAAAGGAAAAACCGAACCAAACTTTATTGGTTCGGTTTCGGTTTTGAAGGTTTGGAAACCAAACTGAATCGAATTCCTGTAGGGTGCGTTTGTTGCACCAGATTATCTCAAACTGGACTAGCTTCAGGAACTAAGTTGGATCTGCTTAGTGAAGTGTTTGATACAGTATTAGACTAAGAAATAGGATAATTAACAAACTCAAAATATTATATTATTTAATCTATGTATTAATATATTTTACTATTATTTTATTATTTTATTTATTTCTAGAATCATCTCACTCAAATGGCCAGCATCTTTTTTTTTTTTTTTTTTTTTTTTTTTTTCTAGCTTCTCTCTTTAATGTATTCCTCTTTCCTCTGCCACTCTTCCTCTCCTCTCCCTCTTTTTATCCGGTTTCACCATTTTCTAGAATTCCCTTACTCTCTCCGTATACCTTTCCTTATTTTCCCCCACCCATCTCCCTCCCCTCTCCCCTAACCTCTCCCTCTTTTCCTTATGTAAAGGATTCGCGTATAGGATTCATCAGAGTTCTCCACCCAGCGCCTCCTCTGATTTTCTTGAAAAATCTCGGGATTTTCTTGTGATTTTACGTTTTTGTTTTGAATTTGTTTGGGGGATTCATCCACATGTGCTTATGGGGGTTTTGCATTTTTTGTTTCAAATTTTAGGAGTTGGATTTTGACATTTTAGGCAGTGGGTGAGGGGTGGGTTTTAGATAGGAAAATTAGAATGCCCTAAAATTTTTCTATGGTTTTTATATTAAGCATTGATCATTTTTAAAGATTTGATTACGGTGTTTTGACCAAACCTCAATAACTTTCCATTTATTTAATTTCCACGTCCATAATTTAAATGTATTTATGTAGAGGCATAAGGTAGCTTAGCAACTAATTGCTTATAATATAGGAATTTAATTTTGTCAATCCCCTTCTACGCATTAAATGACATTTTATTAATAAATTAAAATAAAAAATTAATTAACTAATAGTCTTCCATTTATTTAAATCATCTCAATAAAAAGTTTTCAATACATTCATTCAAAAAAAAAATTGTCTTCAATACATTTTTTTTTCCCAAGAAAACTACATTACTTATTAAATTTCATGTATAGATATATAAAAAATTATACTTAAAACTTTGGTACATTTGAGAACAAAAGTATCGGTTTTTGGTACATTTAGATTTTAAATGTACCAAGAAACCAAATGTACCAAAAATTCAAATGCCCCATAAAACCAAATGTACCCATGGTTACGTAACCCAAATGTACCCATGGTTATGTAACCCATTTGTTACGTTTAAATTTCAAATGTACTGAGAAACCAAATGTACCATAAAACCAAATGTGCCCATTGTCAAATAACCCTTCTGGTACATTTAGATTCCAAATGTACCAAAAAACCAAATGCATAAAAAATCCCAAATGTACCACAAAACCAAATGTTTCTATCAGATAAGCCCTTCGATACATTTACATTTCAAATGTACTGAGAAATACAAAAAATCAAATCCACTGTCAAACTAAATGTGTACGTAATATAGGTAACTAGACGTAGCTATATAATCAAACAAATTTTTATTATGTGCTGGGTCTTTTCAAGTAATCAAATCTTACAATTTATTATTATTATAAATATTCTACTATATTCACAAAAATAAAATAAAAAGTATAACAAACAATAAAAAAAATGCATACAGATGGATAATAAATGCAAAGATACGAGGATAATAGGTAAAGAAAAAAAAAAGAAAATGAACTGTCCAGGAGAAGTTGTGAAGAACTAAAATTCTAAACAAAATTAAACTTATGTGAAAAGTTGAAATTAATAACCAAAATTTTAGGAAAATGTTTGATCAAAATTTTAAAAGGAGTGTATGTTTAGTCTAAAAAATTCAAAACCGAGACGCCTATATCAAAACGCTCCTTTTAGATATGGGCATGGGTAAGGGAGTAGGAGTTGCAGACAATGTTGGAGATGAGATTAGCAATCCCATGCTTTATGTGGGGTCTCACTTGGATGACCTAGTGAAGCACTTAATCAGAACGAGTTCAACTTAATCTCATTTAAATTTAGTCCAGCTTGCACCAAACAAGGGATTAGTAGTCTTAGCAAAGCAATCTAATCCAATGAACTTTAATGAGGGCAAACAAACATGCCCTTACACTTTATAAATGTGCCTATAATGTTTCTTTTGTGAACTTTTGTTGCCAAGTTTGAAAATAAGTCTAGGGCTTTTTCAAGGAGCATACTTGGTTCAATTAGGGAAGTTATTTCATTGGTTATAGAGGAAAGTTTTGGAAGACAACTTCTAATAAGCCAATTTATATTGAGTATGCAAATGATGTGCTTTAGTCTATTTTGGAACTTGGAAGAGCTTCTATATTTTTCTGCATTCAGAATAGATATAGTGATCAATTCTTTTTTTTTTTTTTTTTTTTTTTTTTTTTTTTTTTTTTTTGCAATTGAGGTTGTTGATAGAATAAGATTGGTTTATATGATCTTGTACCATCCCACTTTTTCCATATATTTTTTTTATTATTAGTCTACTAATATGTCACATCCCGGCCTGGGTGGGACCACTTCCCGGGCTCGCTCCACCACCGTAGCACGATATTATCCGCTTTGGGCTTACCATTCCCTAACGGTTTTGTTTTTGGGAACTCACGAGCAACTTCCCAAAGGGTCACCCATCCTGGGAGTGCTCTCGCGCGCTACTCGCTTAACTTCGGAGTTCCCATGGAACCCGAAGCCAGTGAGCTCCCAAAAGGCCTCGTGCTAGGTAGAGATGAGAATATACATTTAAAGATCACTTCCCTGGGCGATGTGGGATGTCACAATCCACCCCCCTTAGGGGCCCGACGTCCTCGTCGGCACACATGCGACCAGGGTTAGGATCTGATACCAAACTGACACACCCCGACTGAAATCAGGGCGTGATGGCCAGCACGCCCTGATTTCGGTCGGAGTGTGTCATAATACAAGTCTCTTTTCTAAATTTCATATTAAAAAAAAAAGGTTTATTTAAAAAAAAAAAAAAGGGGAAAACTAACCATAATAAACTAAACCAAGAAAAAAATTGAAACGAAAAAATATCGAACTGAATAAAAAATTTCAGTTTGATTTTGATTTCAATAAAAAGCCGAAACGAATAAAACCAAAGCCATCCCTACATTTTGGAAAGAATAAAAAGTGGAGACATAATCGTAATAATGAAAAATGAATGATGCCCCTTGGGTCCAAAGAATATAACTTAATTAGGGTTTCACCCACACCTATAAAAGGCAATGATAAACCCCCGCTTCTCCTCTCTCTTCCGTAAACCCTAAATCCCCAATCTGAGCAGCTGAATCAAAATTTCGGAGATGGCGACGGTTCCAGGGCAACTGATATGGGAGATAGTGAAGAAGAACAACTCTTTTCTGGTGAAGGAGTTCGGGAGGAGTCACGCCGGCGTGCGGTTCACCAAGGAGCCCAACAACCTCCTCAATCTCCACTCCTACAAGCACTCTGGTACATTTCAGTGCATCCCCTTCCATTTATTTTCTGTTAGGTTCCGAGAAAATATTGGGTTTTTTTGGTTTTTAATTGAGAGATGGTTTCAACTAGGGTTGGCAAACAAGAAAACCGTGACCATTCAGGGTGTGGGCAAAGATCAATCTGTGCTGCTGGCGACAAGTAAGACCAAGAAGCAGAACAAGCCCGCTGCTCTGTTGCATAAGTCTGTGATGAAGCAGGAGTTTCGCAGGATGGCCAAGGCGGTTGCGAATCAGGTAAATAAAAGTTCCAAAATTTGGCCTGCTGCGTGATTGTTTACTAAGACCAGGATTGCCAGTTTATTATGCAGTGATAAGCCTTGAAATGCTTGAAGTATCGTTTCTAATAGATTTTTGAAATGAAATGAAATGAAATGCACTTCGTTATGTTCGCTTCTGAGCATGCATTGTGTTTTTTTATTAGATCGAATTTGTTATGTTAAAATCTTATAGGTTTATGCTGCAGTGATGAGCCTTAGATGTTAGAAGGATCGTTTATTATGTTTCTGTGGTGGGAATTTGTTCCCACTGTTCGTTCAATAAAATACACTTGTTACGCTTGGCAGGCATTTTGTTTTGATTAGGTTGGAATCACTATGTTAATCTTTTCTATATATATTTAGGCAAGTTTTATGCTTTTCTGTGAAAAATTTGAGATGCGTTTTCTCAAGGATCTGAATGATTAGTTTTCTAAGAAGATACTTGTAGTTTTATGCTGCCGTGATAACTTTTAACATGTTAGAGGGATCATTTATGGAATTGCTCCTTCAGTGAAAACCTCTTGTTTTAGTAAGAAGATACTTGTCTGTTTATGATGCAGTGATGAGTTTTAACATGTAACATAGAATACTTAGAGTGTTTTCCCTTCTATGAAGTATTCTTGTTAAGCTTGTCTTTTGAGCATGCCTGTGTTTTTTATTATGCACTGGACTCTCTTTCTTAGTCCTCGTGTTGGAAGATTCAAGTATCATCATGTGTTTTATTGTATTGATTCAATGAATCTTTAGTAGCCTTGTTGGGATGTCTCTTACGTTATTTGTCTCTGTTTTTCATTTTGTGTTCCCCATCAATGCAGGTGGCGGATAACCATTACAGGCCGGATCTTAAAAAAGCAGCCCTTGCAAGGTTGAGTGCTGTTCACAAGAGCCTCAAGATTGCCAAGTCTGGTGTCAAGAAGAGGAACAGGCAAGCTGTTAGAGTCTATGGCAGGAAGTGAGTTATAGGGGGTTATTTTTCATGATTTTGGATTGATCGTGTTGTCCTTCGAAGCTCAGTTGTATTTGGATTTTGAGATTATATTCAGTTTGTTTTGGATAATTTTCGTGGATATCGAAATTATGAGTGTTGGATTATTTTTTTCAACTAAATGGAAGAGATTACAAGTTCATATTTGCAAGCACCTACATTAAGCATAAACAAAACAAGGGTTTTTTTTTTCTCCTGGACATGTTGTATCCAATCAAATGAATATAACATAAAATTCTGTGTGGTAATATTGACGTTACAATGAACTGCGTCGTTAACTGAATTATTTGAGTAACTTCTTGAATTTCTAAACGAACGAATGAAGGTGGAACCAAGTATCATGAATATCTGCTGTACATATTATAAGCTGGCTTGTCTGAAGGTTCCAATACAGAAACCACATGTTCTGCAAATCTGTGGAACGTCCGACCACCATCCAGAATGCACTCCGCCATGACGGACGAGTCAAGATGAGCAACATGTGGTCTTTTGGGCGACCGGTTGTCCACGCATGTGCACGGTGGATGGTTTGTTGGCACTCATAGGTTGCGTTGCTATCCTGCAACCCGAAAGCAAAAGGAAATGTTACGGAGACTGAATTACTCTTGGATCATGGATTCATAGAGAAAAAATAACATCTAAGAGGAACGCACCTGTTCTTTATCTCAGCAACCATAGTCATGAATGCCTGCTCTACATTAGTCGAATTTTTGGCGCTCGTTTCCAAGAACGGAATTCCTAGCTCGTCGGCAAATGCCTAAAAACCGGGGGATGGGGGAGAAGAAAAATTTTAACAACGTAAGTTAGAAATGTTTAAGCAGATCAACGATGCACGTGTATTGAACTTATGACAGTTTGATTTCACCGAAAGATTAATTAGTAACGCAAATACCTTGCTAGCTTCAGAAGAGACCACTTTCTTGTCAGCCAAGTCACTTTTGTTTCCAACCAAGAGCTTGTTCACATTTCCAACCGCAAATTTATCGATTTCTTGCAGCCAGGTCTTGACGTTGTTGAAGCTCTCTTGGTCCGTGACATCATAGACAAGCTAGCAACAGAGTCAGGAGAATCTGGTAAATACTTGCAAAATACCACATTCACGAAGAGAATCCTATGAAAAGCTTGTAGAACCAAAAATCTACGTTATGGGATATAAAGGTGTGAATCAATGCTTACGATAATGCCATGGGCACCGCGGTAGTAGCTGCTTGTAATTGTTCTGAAACGTTCTTGACCAGCAGTGTCCCACTACGGAGAAGAAACGGAGATTTCATATTTTCCGGTAATGCACTTTGATTTCAATCCAATCCGGGCTTAATAATAAACATACTTACGATTTGGAGTTTGACAACCTTCCCGTCTTGCTCCACAGTTCGAATTTTCTAAATAGAGGAAACAAAGAGATGAAATCACTGCCATGACATCAAAGTAACCAGATATCAGAAATGCTATCATATGTGATTTTACTTACAAAGTCAACACCAATGGTACTTATGTAGCTGTCGATGTAAGAATCATCCTACAGAAAGTGAGTGGAATCGTCAATAAAGCTTCAAAGAAGGTCACCGCCAATTTAGAGTGCACTATGCAGAATAAAAGCATTCTTCTGGTCATCAGAATGTTGTAACAGAAGACCGAAAACTCAGATCACTAGCGCGGGTGCCACGCATGCTAGTGCTACAAGTTAGCGATGATTAAACTTTAGGAAGAAATGCAACTGCATAGATTAGCCATAGTGTATAATATCCAGCACACGATAAGTGAGGCGGTAATGCTGCACCTTGGTTAATGGTGGTGAGGCGAAATTGCACTCATACAAATATAAAGAGAAGAATTTTATGTGCTTGTATGATCGAAGGGTGGCATATATATGTTAAGAAAAACATCGCCCTATACACAACATTGTTAAACTTTTACCGCAAATCTCAGTAGAAGGCATGACTTGCCAACGCCGGAGTCTCCAATGAGCAAAAGTTTGAAAAGATAATCACTGCAAAATGGGGGAAGAGAACTAATTGGAACCTCAAACTTTATGCTAAAGTAATTACGCAAAGAACTCAAGAATGTTCATGAATCATCAAATCTTAATAACAAACTACACTTATTCTGTGACAACTAATGTGATTAACCGATAATATGCCATGTGTATCTGATTTATTGCATTGGAACGAAATTATACAGGAAGTCAAGATCTGGATTCCATGAAATCAATCAAAAAGATTATAGGTGCCTAATAACGCACCAAGCCACAATCATTTCACAGGTTCCTAAGATACTCATCTTATTTAGCAAGTTCGTGGATCACAACTCATATTTTATGTTTCGAGTTTTTGAAATGAAATGGGATCCCAACATTAAATTTCGTAAGAAGTTTCTTCCACCAAAATGGCAAATCAAGAACCAACCCACATACCCAAAATTCAAATCCAATTAAAGGAAACAACCAGATATCAATCACACAGGAATTTTCAGCTATAAGAAAAACGTGAAAAACGTGAAAAACATGTAGACATGCATACAATTGGTGATGAGAGAGAGAGAGAGAGAGAGAGAGAGAGAGAGAGAGAGTACTATTCAGGGATCATGACTGGGTTGATCGACGAGGAAGATTGAGAAATGGAGCGTAGAAATGTTCAACTGGGTCTAAAATTACGTAATTGGGAATGTTAAGGGAGGGAGGGAGGGAGGGAGGAAGAGAGGAAGAGAAGGAGAAGACTTTGCTGTGTGTTTATAAATATGGGCGGTCAGTTTGCGTCACATTGAAAGGTTCGTAGTTCGTACTACGTCCTACTCAGCCACCAGCTTGAAACCTGACCCCACAAACACTTTTTTTTTTTTTTTTCTTCTTTTTTCGTTGGACCTATAACGTGGTCATGTGGCATTACCAGGCGTTACCACTATTTCACTCAAAGTCTACCGACATGTTTTTTTTTTTATTTTTAAGTTTTTTTTTTTAAAAGGTGGACAACTGGTGTCAAGTCACGGTTATTCACCTTTTTAAGGCTTGGAGAGGCTATGGAGAATTTCACCTTCCCCATAACCACAGTCAAGCAGACTCACTAGTTCAGAGTATCAAATCCAGAACCTTCCACATTTTTTTGTTTATCGGAGAGCCCCAGTCTACGCCCTTATGTCAACATGTTTTCTATTAATATATATTCTAAAAGTTGGATATATCAACTATATCATCGATCCTTATTATAACATTTAAAAATAATACACTATGTGACTTATATTCTAAATTCCATTAAAAAATTCTCAATTAACAAAAGACACACCACACTAATAGCGCACACCCTACCATATAATTACTTCACTACTTTGGGTTGGGCTTAGCACAATAATATTCTATGTCGAATGATTCAAATTCCCGTGTGAGAAGAATTACATGTAAGTTATGGTAGTTGGTCGGAGCAACTTATAAAATCGCACTAATAAATAAAAGCATAAAAACATAACAAAAGAAAGTTTTCTAAGGGTGAATTAGCTATGACAACCACAGCAAGTGTGCAGCTCCTCAATAAACAAAAAAAATGTGGAAATCCTCGGATTCGATGCTCCGAGCCGGTGAGTCAGCTTAACTGTGACCACAGGTAGACTGAAATTCCCCATAGCCTCTCCGAGTCCGAAAGAGGTGAATAATTGTGACTTGCCACCGGTTGTCCCATATTTCTTAAAAAAAAAAAAATAAATAAATAAAAGGAAGGATAGCCAAGTTAAAGATTGAAGATGAGTCAGCCATTGACGGAATTATCCCTTCTAATCGCTACAAGCCAAGAGTTAGTTTGTGAAGTTGAGGTTTGATTATCAGAGAACATGAAAAACGTGGGGTTTGGATTATTGGTTAGTAGGTGGAGTTTGAAGCCAACTTAGTGGGGATTTAATTCTAATTGTGAATTTGTTGGAGCTCTCTAAATTTAAGTTTGAATATTTCATATATAATTAAGATTAGATTAAAATATCGTTTGAATATATGTTTGATTATTATCAACTCCCTCCTTTGAATAAATGATTATGAGAACCTTCCAAGATATTGGGAAACTATTTGCTTCGAACGTACCCCAAAAATCACCAATCATTTGGTGTCTAATATCAGCCTACACGTACACACATGCGAATCAAAATATAAAAGAGTAGCAGGTTAAGCTCTCACTTCCAAGAAATTTTTTATTATGACCGGAATATGAGTGGTAAACCACGTGTTTTTGTACAAGTGGTGGGAATTTGTATTTTTTAAGTTATTAACTTTTGAATACATATATCTCACAATTTGTATAGTACCACCTTGTATGTGGTGTGCCACCTTGTATTCCTATCACACTAAAAAATCTGTCCTCACTTCTAAGGACGTATGTAGAAAAACCCTTATTTCTTTTTTTTTTCTTTTATAGAAAAAAAGATAAAATTAGAAGGAGAATCCTCTGGTACAACCATAACCAATACAGTAAAAAATGGGGATTTGAAACCGTAACTCCCACATCAGCCAGACTATCAGCAACAAAATTAGCTTTCCTAAAGACATGCCTTCAGTAAATAGTAGAATGGAGGTGTCAAGGGGGTTTCCAAACCCCAGTAACCAGATTGATAATCAAAGGGGAGTCTCATTCGACTTCTAGATTATTGATATCTTTCTTCCTAGCAAAAAGAAGGCCCTCCTTCA